AGTGATTTTAAATTCTTTGATAACAGGTTGGTACTCATAACATAATTAGCATTAACCAATGTATGCTTAATTGAGAAGTACTTACACAAACTATTTAAATATGTCTATTTTACATAGATCATAGTTTTATTTTAATCAATACATACACCTGAGACAACAGCACATTCCGGTTCTGGGTAGATCCTATCAGTTTTACATTCTATAACAAAGTCTGACTCCACATGCTGAGATGGCAGCTCTGTGCAGGTTAAGTTTTCTGGTTTTGCTGAAAATATTAGTGCTATGTAGGGCCTATAGTTTGACCATTAATTTATGGCTAATTTAGTTTATTAGGCTAATTATTAAATAAAATATATTTTAAATAAAAACTTATTTATTAAGTAAAAACCTACTTGTTAATTAAAAAAAAAACCTTTTGTTAAATAAAATATTAGACGAGGTATAATTAATAAATTTTAATAGCTCTGCTTACAGTACACTTTGAGCGGCGAACAAGAAGTCTGGATGATCGAACCCGCGATGGTGCAGATAAAACCTCCAATTTGAGTATCCATCTTAGTTATATTTAAAACACTTTTATAAGTTCCCCCCATGTCTTCAATAGTTGCAGAAAAATATGTAGAATAGTAGCTGAAACACGATGATCGATTACAGCTGACTACAGAATTATAATCATCAATCGCAGGAAGATACACATGCCAGTATAGGTAGAGATAGTTCGTAGAATATGAGGCCATGCAAGAAATAGAGTATGGTTTACCATCTTCCGCTGGGGGACACTCTAATGCTGTTGAAAAGACAAAAAAAAACAAACAACAAAGTTAAACAGTCAAACATAATAATTACAAAACGAAGTAGAATATGTTTGAGTCCTATAGAACTCTTCTTAAAAAGAAAAACCTTTTCATAAAGATTTTACCTCACATGTTCTCCATTTGTAAAATTACATTACGGGTGTGAATAGACTGACCTTAATTCCCATCATATTAATTACAACATAAAGCGAGTATAAACTTACTCCATTTTTATTTAATGAATGTTTTATTGATTTACTGCAAATTGCTATCGCCGGCCCCTACCCCCTCCTTTATTCATCAGGGCTTGAGTCCCTCTGTGATAGCAATTAAAAAAAAAATTACGACCCACTAACACATCATCATGCTTTACTTACTGTGTACCGAGGTAGCTGCCATAAGAAGGAATACCATGAAAGCTAAAATATATCTACACAGATTGAATCGGTACTGAGTTGAAATCATCTTCAATGCACTCTAAATGCCAGACAAATTCGAATACATAGTTGGCTTTTTATTAAAACGATTTTAAATTTCAAAATGAAGAAAATTAAGGCATTATCTATGTGTTTTATCTTTGCTACACGAATAGTTTATAGACACAGGAACTGCTATGTAGCTTCACCCTGTAAACATAATATAACACTCTACGTGTTTTCAACTGTAGCAGGAAGTGATATACACATTGCTTAGCATGGCATAGGTCTTTGACAGTTTTAAGTTGAAAGGATCATTGAAATGGGAAACACTTCGACATTTTGGAATCACGGACATATTGTATATGTTTTTTACACACTCCTACATAATATATCGGTATACAACACTCTGTCCACCTAATTCAGTCACCGCTTCCACTGAGTAGGCCTAGTGATTTTTCTGGTTCGTTGAAAGAAATGTTAATAGAACTACTATAAAGACTTAAATATATAAGTATAAGATTAACAATCGATAAATTTAAGCAAGCATTTACACATTATTTCCAGAAGTAAGTATTAATTATGAATTAAAACTGAATACTGTAAATTTCACTTTTTTCGTTCTACGGTCAAAAAAAATCAGCGCTTCGTTATTCGTTCCCTACCAACAACTGCTGTATTCATATCTATCACGCTATAGTGCTTACATCCTCACAATTTCTATCATTTCAAACAAAACGAATGTAGCACTTTTAACTATATAACTCATTCTCTCTGTCCTTGGTAAATACAAACTAACCCTCATCCGTCCTCAATCCACCGCCATAATCTAACGTTAGTGCAGGTATGTAAATCGTTAACCCTACCATTAACATTATCTACACCATCGCATAGACTATCACCATCACATCACATACATCACTTCTTAAACAAAAAACTTTCTAACATGTTATAAATATGTGCATGAACCTTAAAGCAAATGGAGTGGTTAGTGTTTGGTCTAGCGGCTAAAGTAAGGATAGGCTATAGAATACAGGTTCCGAAACATTTTTTGGGTGGCAACCCTTATTTATATAGCTCAAGTCACCCCCCCCCCCCCCACACACACGCCTTTAAAGCTTTTTTGAGAAGGAAAGAACTACGACGAAAATAATGTGTTTAAATGTTGTTTTATTTTTATTTTTTCAAAATAGTGTATTGTGATTGTGAAAATTGCATGCTGTTAACCAGTTCTGGTGCACAATTTTTTTACTATGTCGTGCTGTCGTATTTGAACTGTCATTTGCCGCGGTCCCTAGTTCTATCATCTGCACTGACAAAATCCGATTGCGAATCATATGAATCGGATGTGTTTGTGTCTTGACCTAAACCGAAACACTAAGACTGACTCACCAAACCCATGAGGTTCGATCGAACCCAGATGAAGAACAGCTGTGTTTGATCAATTCTCTGATGTTTACAAGATTCATAATGACGAAAGAAGTTAAAATAATTGTAAGTGTATTCTGAATAATTCGTCTTTAATTCACGAGTTTCGAAGGTTTCGTAAAGTTTTGTCACTGAGAAGAACTTAGCGCAACACGCTTTTAGGTTTCTCTATTTCTTTTCTTGTCAAGTTTGTAAAGCCGATTTTATTATGGTTTTCGTATAAGTTGGCGACCCTTCAGAAGACCCATCACTTTGAGAACCCGAGCTGTAGGATAAAGATCTACTAGCCAAACCAAAATATTTGTATGGATATTCGTCAAGTATGATTGTTATCTACATAAATCTTTAAACAAAGCAAAGGCTAATACAAAAATCAGAAGACACTTTACCAACAGGCGAATAATAGGGACAAGGAATGTGTCAGTTAGGTTGACTCAGTACAATTTAACATAGGCGACTCAGCTGTAAACTATGACAAGGAATGTGTCAGTTAGGTTGACTCAGTACAATTTAACATAGGCGACTCAGCTGTAAACTATGACAAGGAATGTGTCAGTTAGGTTGACTCAGTACAATTTAACATAGGCGACTCACCTGTAAACTTATGCCGATAAAAATAAAACGCCCATGCTTTTCACAGAACCAATCAGTTCATCACATACGTATCCATACGTCACGTTTACCATAACAAATTAAACAAACGTGAAAGTAAAGAGCTTACACTAAATTACATATATGTTTCTTTATACTGGATATTTTCAAATCATTTGCGTGTGTTTTTTTTAAAAAGAAAGTAAAGAAGCAACAAAGTACATTTTCAAGTAATGCGGTTATTATTGATGTAAGTCATTTCAAAATGCTACTATAAAATGTACATAATTAAAATCACTTCTGATTCCTGAAACATTAAAAGAGAGTAATACCGAGGTAGGCTAACTTCTTTACATTTAGATCCTACAAGATCAAGTTCAAAGTAACATTCATTTTATAACGCCATTTTTCAGTAAAGATTAAGTCAATTATAACTATAAACCATTAACATGTGTTGCAAAAACGCTTATAAAAATTATTTCAATTTAAGCCTATAATAGTTGTATATAGTTTTTTTAAGCAATTCAATAACAACAGACAAAAAATTATTTATTTGCTGATCTCAAAAGCTGTTAATACCGTTTTACGAAATACAGAGGTATAGATTTAGATGTAACGTATGAATTGATATAAATCTAGCTCGTTTATTGTAGCACTGTAGTTCCGCCCCTGTCCCCGAGTGAGATACCTATGCGACATTTCTGTCCGCTATTTTTAGAAACCTTACATCATTGTTACGCAGTTGTCAGATAGAAACAACTAATTTTTTTTTTTTGCGGAGTGAACTATTAAATCTAGTATTTTAATTATAATTCAATTGTAGCATATGCAAAAAAGTAAAATGTTGGACATTGTTATAACTGAGTCCATTGTCGATGTTAGTGGGTTATTCTCCCCCCCCCCCCCCCCACCAGAAAAATGACAGGCCGTACCTTGATAGAAAGGCATCACCGTCCCAATTAGCGATGTGCAGGCTAGGGGTAGTACCGGTCGCCCGGTCTTTTACCTGAGTCACACCCAACTGACTTGAGATGCAAATTTGAAGAAACACGTAATGAGATACCATATTGTATTCGAGGTTAAGCCACGACACAGACCCCAGTCTGTGTGGAGGACCAGAGACATAGGACTATTAGGACAGTCAAATGTTAGCCTTAGGATGTAGACATGTTTTGTGTTGTAAGGTTTGGTAGAGCTGACCGCTATTGATAACTAAGTTTCTCTCCTGCATTAGACAAGACTAAAACTATCATCGATTGTTTAGTATCAACCATACATTATATTAAAGTCAATGAGCTGAGATTGTGTTCGTGTTTATTTTGCATAATCAAGTAATCTACTGTTAATGTGTCTAGTTCATCACACAACTGTATAATCTCTTTACTGCAGTCATCAAAGACATCAAACCATAGTTCCAACTATACGGATGACTTCATAACATTTTTGGTGGATCAGCGAAAACATTTTTTTTGAAGTTGCTGAAAGGATTCACATTTCGACCAAAGAGCGAAACCGCCTTACAACATAGTGGATATTAGCTCAAACTACTCATTGGCTAACTAATTGTGGAACTGAGACAAATACCAATTTAGTACATGATCGGATGTAGCAGCGGACATAACTCTTCTTATAAAGTACGTCAAACAGCGAAAAGAACTTTCTGAAAATATATTGTGAACTTTGGAACATTGATTCTCGATTCATTAAACAAACAAGTTAAATTTAATAACATTGGCTGTAGTCAATAGTTAAACTTAAGACTAAACTTATCCTAGCATTTTTCTTCGATTTCAATATTCTCATAGTTAAGCTTTATTTGTGCTGTAGCTTTATTTCCACTCTGAGTTTTGATATCGTTAAACGTTGGTTCCGGGTTTTTCTGTGCATATAAGTTTGAATCTCCCAATCTGGTAACATTACTGTAGTTGTTGGTCATTGGTTGCGGCTGTTCATTGTTCAGGTCTGGCAAGTCGTAAATATTTGCTGCAAAGAAAAATGTAAGTTATCGTGAAAAGAACACAATATTTAGATTATTTTACGGTGTAAGATCTGACGCATATTGGTATTCTTTGGAGTAGAAGTGTGAGGGAGGGGAGTGGTGAAGGGGTTGTTCTGTAAAGATGAAAGGGTGTTGCTCAATCTGTTAAAATTATTTGACGTTATTTATGACCACTATTGTAGCCGATTTAACCAAACAATCTCTCCTATCGTCTCAAGTTGTGTTACGAAACCTAGCCAGTCAAGTCTGAGTTTTCCTCCTCAATACAAGTGATGTCATTTGCGTTCAGCCGCCTATTTTTCTAATCATCTTTTCGGTGCAGCTTAATCTTTAGCAATTATTTAAGTGTGCCCTTACTCTTATGAAACTGGTGGTAAATTTAAAGTTGTATTTTTTATATTTAAGACATCAATAACAGTTTTTATTAATCCAAACGAAAAAAAAAACATACCACTCTGATTGACAACTCCATATCGGTGCTCGTCAGTTTGCGTAACAATGACGTCATCATAATTTGCTGGCTTGGGGTCACGTGAGCTCATGGCTCGTCGTTTTCTGATGACTAAAGCAAGGACCGCAGCGATGATGCCTAGTGCCACAAGAGGTAAGGAGATGCCTAGACCAACGCCAAGGGCGAGGTTGTTATCTGATGATTATGTCAGGTTTAAAACAATAACAATACTAGTAATAATAATAAAAATAATAATATTAATAATAATAGTTTTTAAACACGAAGATCGTATGTATGTAATTGTTTTCAGATAATCAACACCCAGGCCATATACTCAGCATAGCCACAATCTTAGCTCTGAAGGCTTGATCATGCCATTATACCTTGCCGGTGTTCATGTAAGAAAGTTCTATTTGAACGATTAGATTAGGGCTTAGATTAGGGTCTTAGTTTGTAATACCGTTATCGCTGTTCGACTACTTAAGCCCAACAAATATCTAGTTAAGACTTAGCAACGAGAAACTCAGAAATACTTTACAAGTGTTTTCAACATATCCAATCACATCTTTAACCCGAAGACATGATTTTTCTACTTTATGAAATTATATGTAAATTTTAATTTAAAAAAAATGCTCGTGTACCCTGTTCCTCTTGTACTGTAAAGTGAAAGTCCAGGCCGTCACCGACGCCATTGCTGATGGTGAAGATGAACTGTGTAAAATCCTGCTCCTGTACGCCAAAGATGGCCAGATTAGCGCTCCCATAGAAGGGCGTGGTCTCTGTGTAAACTACCGTGTACCGTTGTTGTCGTATTTCGTATGGCGACCCCTGGATCAGGTACTTCAGGGAGTAGGAGGAGGGGTTGGGGTAACCGAAAACCTTGACCTTTATAAATACATCTCTCCCTTTTACAACGGGGAATATTCGGTTATTTGTTTCATCTGCTTGTAGGTGAACTGAACCTAGAAAGGATCAAACAACTTGAATTAACGAATAGGCCTACCCTCTCATAATCATGTAACAGTATGGTCTACCGTCATAGTCATCATATTTTCCCTAATCAGTAGATGTAAATATAGTTAAGAATATGTTGATGGTGTACCATAACAGGATAGAATAAGGATTAGTCGAGATGCTACATTACAGCGTGGCTAAACAGCTTTTGCACCTACATTTCTCTAATTACTCCTCGACCACATGAGCTTTTATATATATATATATATATATATATATATATATATATATATATATATATATATATATATATATGTATATATATATATATATATATATATATATATATATATATATATATATATATGTATATATATATATATATATATATATATATATATATATATATATATATATATATATATATATATATATATATATATATATACAAATATATACAAATGTATATATGTATAAAATATGTATGAAAATATGTATGAAATTATATATTGTATATACATATGCGTATATATATATATATATATATATATATATATATATATATATATATATATATATATATAACATTTCAGCAATGACTGAAATCCCTTTGCTGTTCAAGTTGTAAAATGTCAGTGCTGCAAGCAACCACTGACAAAATCTCTGATCAGCATACCCATGCTGGCTACATTAGAACATAAGAGCTCATTCAAACTTGTAAAGCCGTGGCTGGGACCAAATTGAACTTTGACCTACAGTTGGTGACCAGTCGTACACTGGCCGATGTGTTGTCATGTCCAGCCACGCCATTGTCGGCCGTGCACCAGTACTCATCAATGTCCACACAGGCCAAGCTTGGGATGGCCAGAGACAGTCTTCTGGTACCGTTCTCTCGGGTCTCGCTAGATCTCGTTCCTTTTCGAGATATCGTCATTTGTGGTGGTGGGTTGCCTTCAGCTAAACAGGTCAGTTTAACATATCCCCCAATAGATGGATTCAGTTGGGTTGAAAGGTCAATCGTGAAACTTGATACAGAAGAAGGGACTGTTGTAGAAAATATTTTTAAGTTGGTCAACAATACTCTTGTCTTTTTAATAGTCTTTACATATTCATGTTATTAAAATACTTGAGTATTAAATGAAACAAAACACACACGTTTTTCACTTACATTCAAAGCTTGCTTGAAATAATACACCCGGGTCCTCTACACCAACAGATGACACACCTCTACAGGTAAAGTTAAGTTGTCTGTCTATCCAGGTAGTTAAAACACATTTTAATTGACTCTAACAAAGTCTTATAGTACTGTTTCAAATATTATAACGTAATATTAAATTTGCTAACAGTTTTTCTTCCAGACTTTTTCACCGGGGAGGGGGGGGGGGCGGACACTGTTAAATGTTGCCTGGAAGAAACACTGTTCGCTAATTAACAATGCAGATTGGTTTTCACTTGACTTACTGCTAGCGTTATATCCTACACGCAGTACCACGGAACCCCCCTCATCACCAGGTGTAGCGACAGGCAGGTTGTTGGATGTAAACCATTCGACTCGGCCAGGTGGGTTACCTACACTGGAACGGTTACACCTGCAGACTGATGAAGCTCCTACCTTGATGTAATCAGTCACTCCTGGACAACTGGGATCCAAGACAGCCTTGGCTAAAGCTTTAAAGATCCAGTTTTTATTTAGCAAGGTTAAATTTTTTTAAAGAAAATAACGGAATTGAAGTATAATTTATAAATAATATAAAAGTTGTATAATATTGAGATATTAAAAGCTATAATATATTACATTATGTATCATTTAAAAATATAAGGCTTGTAATTAATTGTTACGTTTTTAAAATTAGTCGCTTAAGGGGGCAGTATCACCCAGACATTTGAAAATTGACGCAAAATTTGCCAAAAAAAAAAACTATTATACATACACACATACATTTTTTACCATAATAGTAAATATCAAGGAGCTATAAAACATCACATAAAGGAAAGTTAACGTATGATGCAAACATTTTTTTATAAATGATTTTACCAAAAAATTTTTACTAAGTAATTTTTGGCTGCGGTTTTCCAAAATTTATGCCCTTCCTGCTGAAAATACTCTAGGAGATGCATAACAGGGTAGCCTATATCTGGGACTAGAGGATATCCATTGTGACAAATTTTGAATGTTTTAGAATTTTTCAAAGTCAGACCGAAAAAATTGAACTTTGTTGAAATTTTCTTAAAAATTTATCCCTCATTAGAATGCTATCATTTTAGTTCCAACGATAGCCAATAACGTAAGGAAGGTTTATACCAAATTTAAAGTACTTCACTTATGGTTTCGGAAAATTGTTTACTACTGCTGTAAAAATTAGACATGTGTATGTCGAATAGTTTTATTTTGGTGAATATTTTTGTTTCTCTCCCCTAGTCTGGGTGATACTGCCCCCTTAAAATCCACAAATATGTTTGACACTAGATCTAAATAGCATATGACATACCTCCGTTGAAATCTATTGTGTTAAAGAAATCAACTCACTTAAATTGACGTAAACTGTGGAGCTGTTAACGCCGTATTGTAACCCTGATGTAACATTGGGATACAGGGTTGCAGAGAATGTATGTTGTCCTTGTCCTAGCTTGTTCAAGTCAATGGTTATATTGCACGTTGATGTATAATATCGCGATGTTCCAACAGTAACGTTTAAATTTTCATACATTATGCTTGCATTCGCTAAAACCTAATAATGCGGGAAGGCATATATATATATATATATATATATATATATATATATATATATATATATATATATATATATATATATATTTATATATTGTAATTATATTGTAATAATTGTTTGTATTATAGACAGAAATCGTTTTGTATACGTTTTTCATAAAAAACATGTTTAGACCCACCTGATTTTTGCTAAAGAAGACACAAAGAAGTTCAGGAAATATTTGTTCTGTTCTACACGATAATGTCGTGTTCGTTGACGAGGACTCGAGATGTGAACTGGCACAGGAAATCTGAATGGGCTTAGCTAGAAATGATCAAATAATAATTGCGAAGAACAAAAACGTTTGACTACAAGTACAAGCCAGAAGAGATGCGAGGTTGGGCGAACTAACACTAATAGAGCTGTTTGTATTAAGCCTTGTAGCATTAATCTTAACGTCGCGTGTGTGGTAGCAGGTAATAGAAATATTTTAAATCAGGGAAACATTCAAAAGTGTTGATGGCTTAAAGATAAAACATTATTCCTAATGATTACAGCCGTAAATAGTCTCAGAATAACATCCTAGCTTTAATTATTGTATAATTCACAGTCACATTTATGAGTAACTGAAAAAGGAATCTAATTAATATTTTACTCACCATACACATTAAGAATGAACATTTTGCTGTAAACTTTCGGTACTTGGTATATATTATAACTGATACCTTGAAAACGCGTCGACACATTTTTTACATACAAAATATTTACGTATTTTGTATCCACTCGAGACAAAGTAGCATTGAAGTACATTTCGTCCACGGCTAAACACAGAAGTGACCTTGTTTCACAGAAAACAATGTTGAATGTTTCATCTCTTATCTTAAGAAACCAATTTATGTATTTTAAACTTATGTTCTCGAAACTGAAATTTAATTCGAAGTCACTTCCCTCTTCTATTGTAAGTAAAACCACTTCATCATAACCTAAGAGATTAAAAGAACCATTGACTTAAATTGGTTAGAAAATGTACAATTTGATCATTTGACAATCGTTTTGATAATTAATCAACATACAGATCTGCAATCAATTCGGCGTATTATCTAACGAGACAAAAGGTCGGCATGTTTACATTCTTAATATTAATTAAAAACTTAAAACGCACTAAAAATAAGTCTCAAAAAATATTTTTATTGTGATTAAATATTTTACCGTTTGATTCTTCAATTTTTTTAGACACGATTACACTGACGGATGAACAGTTATTTTGTCGTGTGGCTGATAGAAGCTTTCGAATAAAATATACGTTTATGTGAAATTTCGTCCACCTAACTGAAACGGTGATCAAGTTATCGCCTTTGAGAAACCGGAAGTAGAGTAAATACGACTCCCTGATACCAGAAATCGTGCTAATTTTGAGAGAAAATTATAAATTGTATAATATACTAATATATGAAATTTCGTTATCGTAATTGAAACAGTACCCAAAATATCGTGTTTAGAGACAGACACACAGACAAACAGATACCATTGCAAAACTTAGTTTTTCCGACTTGGGGAGGTGTAAAACGTAGAGATTATGTGCCCGATTTTAAAAAGTCAACAATAATCCGTATAAAATAAAGAAGGGAGGTGTACAACGGCGAAAACTTAATTTCATGTGTTTTTTTGTGCACGTTAACAATAATTTCTCTATACTCTGTACACAAGAACGTAAAAATACGTTATTTCAAAGATAAAAGTTGCCGATTATTAAGCTTAGTAGTCATGTCTATCGCACACCAGAGTTTAAATAACTCACATGTAACAACTAAACACAAGAGAAATACTGTCGAGAAAGATAATAAAATTCGACGATCCATTGAAATATTTAATTTCCTATGCCTATAAATTGGCTTGTTTTCACATAGACTGGCACATGAAGATGCTTATATTTCTGCTAATACGCCAATAAGTATTTTTTAAAAAGGCTGGATAAGCACAGATATAAATGTATAACTGTCAATAAAATCTATGAAGTGTATAAACACTTTAACCTGACTGCTTCCTTAACACACTACTCTATACCAGGAAGTATAAACCAGCCTATTTTGTACAGCTACAAGAAGGTTGACTATCTACGCTTGAGTGGGGACCAGCTACCGGTATCTTAAATTTGAATGCGTAGTTTTTCTATTTAAAGAAATAAATAGATAGAATGACGGCCTTATTTAGTTCTCTCCTGGTAACTTCATGTAAATGTATTCGTATTTTTCTAGCTTGCCTGAAGTGAGATCTCTATTCATTGAAGTATTTTAACATTTGGCGTCATCGAAGTAAAATTACAGTGATAGTTTTTTTTCTCTGGCTTGCGTGTAATGAAGAAAACGATTACACCCAATACGTTTTTGTGATGTGCTTTAATGTAAATAAGTGCTACCCAGGGTGGTCTGATCAAAATTTTGTTTAGAATATGAACATGAGAAAAACAAAAGCAACAAATAAATATCTGAAACTCCAGTAAGAGGGGATAGCGTTTTTTTTTCAGGGCTTTTCCGGTAACATGTCAGATGTCTTTATTTACCTCCGACAATGCGAAAGCCGAATGCAATTTAAAACTTAAAACTAATAGCATTCTCATAAGAGTTAGCAGTCGTACGTAATTTTAAATAAACAAAACGAAAATAGGTTAAAATATTTTTTTATTAAAAGTAAAAATACAGTTAAAAAATAATTTAATATCTCTGATGCCATTTTAAGCTGTAGGTAACGTTTGAAAGGTTTATTTAAAAAGTTGATGCCATCTTACTTTTGTCAATTTTTTTTCGAACGCATTATTGAGTTTGAGATGAAAGTTACAAGAGGCTTTATACAGCCCACTATTCCAATTGCACTAAGGAGGTAGCTACTTAACGAAGACTTCAGAGATTAAATAAGTTACCTTGAAATATGTAAACTTTCAGAACAATAATAATTGGTTTAATTAAAATCCTTATTACAATTTTAAACTTTCTTAAACATTTTCGTCTTAATGAGTATTTAAACAATAGTTATTAAATCCGTTATTATTACGTTTTGCAAAAAAAAAAAACAATTAATAAAAAAATAAAGTGAGCTAATTTAAAAACAAACAAAAATAGTTACAATGAATAGGTATAGAAAACTCTGCAGTGTACTGAAGTACAATTTTCATACAAATTATTCACATGAGATATTAACCTTAAAAGGTTTTTTTTTCTATAACAAGCTAGTTAAAACTTAAATTGAATTCACAAATACATGTAAATCCCTATTGTTTCTATTTCTACTGAGCAGTAGTCTAAAAATACACAAAAGATAACTAGACTATTCTTGCTTCCTTAATTCATACTTCACAGACATACTTTTATTTCGAACTATTAATACATTGGATTTTATTCTGTTTATATACATTCTTCTTTCTTCTTCTTCGATCTTAATTTTAGTGTTGGAAGGGATCCCCCCAACACAATTAAGTAAAAGTGTCAACTGGTTATGCGCCATTGAGGCCATAGACTCCGATTTCAGCCTGCTTTTCTTTTTGTATTTGCTTCCATTGCCTTTGTCCAGTCAAGAACGAACTAAAAGGCAGCAGTTGTTTGATTTTGGAGTTGTCTCTCCTAGAAGAGTGGCTGTTCCAGCTAACGAGCCTCATCTGCCAGAGATATACACTCTCATTTGCCATTATTTAACCTTTTTGTCAGTGACAACTCCTTGATTGCGAGTTACAGGCCTTGTCTCTAAGAAACGTCCTGTCTGGTAGCTAGACGTCTCCAACACAAACTTATCTAAATATGCTACACTTTACATGAAGAAATAGCCTCATGGTATTGGGTGAGATTACCAAAACATTTTAATATATCAGTCAATAATCCCACTGTAATATTTATAAACGAAACCGCACATCATAAACAGTTTATAATTTTGCACATTTAATTAAAATTGCCCTATGTTACATATTTAATAGAATTATTTTTTTACAATAGCTACAGGCGTAATTCCTAAGAGGTATGAATTTAACATCGTCACTTTAAAATAGTAGTTGTCCATAGGACTTACCAATACTGTCGTATTGTCAGTGTCGCTTCTAACAATATTTTAGTCCAAAACTACTCTTTAGCACTGAGAGGTGCTTTAGTCCTAGCACTTAGAATGTGTTAATTATGATTGTTTATTGCTAAAGTCTCATTATTTGTTGATTGATAACAGCTAAATCAATACAGGTATAACGTATAGATGATTTATAGCTCGCCACATAGTACTTCAAAAATAGGGTCGTTTAGCTCCGAACTTTTGTGTTGAACTCGGTACTTGGGTGTACCTAATCTTGCCAGACGGCTTGCTGACGTAGAATGTTTTGAGTTGTGTTCTCGTGGTTTCACTCCCTGAGTCGGTCGACTCGAGTTTGTCGTACTCGTGTTCTGACGTCACAGGAGTGGGGATCAAAGGTCGACTCATGGCCCCTTGTTTCACATTACTGCTCCGTCCTAAGGGGGAACACAAACATACATATATAAACATATTCGTTGATTTATGATGCTTGTCATAAGCGTTAAAACAATCTAAAAAAAAAAATGAGATTCTGGTATGTAATTATCGTCAAAACACAGACTAAAATTTAACTTTTCAACGCCGTCTCTCAGTAAAACTTTAGCTTTATTATCTAATCCTGATCACCATAATTTTAACACTTGGTAAATTGTCTTAGATACGATTTCGCAAATAGGATACAAACGAGTATACATACGTTTTTGACATGTAAAGTAAGGAAACTTTGTGCGAAGTTTCTTATGAAATGTTTTTTATGCACAGTAAATTGACACTGGATGCCTTATTTATTAATTAGTTAATTAGTAAATTAATTTACTCCCATAACCCGCCCATTTCTCCAACAGCCTTAATTAATAACCAAAAGCAACTACACGAAGGTGTTAAAATACGAATGTCCCTCACCTCAACTCCACTTAATAAAACTCAACATTAATAAGGCTGGTAAGTAGGTCACAAACTAGCTCTACGCCTCAATAAAACCTGCATGAGCTATAGAACTGGTTGGTGACCTACTTACCAGCCCTATTACTGAACAACTGATTACGTAACCCAATTACCTGACCCCATGTCACAGTCAAGCAGGTCCACCTGGCTGACGCTGATCACGTGACTCCCGCACCACCTCCATCTCCCCGCCCAGCAGTACACACATCTCCTGCGACGCCGACAGAACAAAATGGCGGCCAGAGCTAGGACCAACAAGGGGAGACAAACACCGAACCCTATGGCGAGGTGTCGGGATGTAACCCGGTCTGGAGAAATACAATAGGGAAATCCACTGTAGCAACAGTAAGGTACAAATCTATTCGAGGTATATCTTAAAAAAAACAACGAAACAAAAAAAAACAAAACAACTGAGCCACGATGCCACTTTAAAGTCAAGTTCCTCTTCTAAACTTGACGGTCCTGGGGCAAGTGAAGTAGAGTTCACCAGTTTCCATAACCTCAGCAAGAATTAGTGTGGTCAGCACTATGCCCAGCCGCCTTTGCTTTCCCTAACGTGAGTTAGGTACCCATCGGAGCTGGGTGGACTAGGGACGTTCTACTTACTGGAGCCCGGATTCGAACTGGAGACTTTCGGGTTTGAAGTCGTTTGCTCAACCATTCGACCACGTCGTCCCGGCAACTGATGTGACTTTGTAAAGCACATGCCAACAGGAGAGTTACAATTGCAAATGCGACTCACCATCCTCCACCCGGAAGTGAAAGTCCAGCCCCTCCCCCGGGCCGCTGCTGATGGTGAGGATGTACTGCGTGAAGTCCATGGCCTGTAGGTCATACAACGCCAGGTTAACCCGGCCCAGCAGGGGCGTGTCCTGCAGGTAGGTCACCGTGTACTTGTGGCGCCTGACTTCATAGAACAGGCCCTGCTGGAGGAACTTGAGGGTGAACTCCCCTGGAGGGACCAGCCCAGTGACCTTGACACTGATGAAAACAATTTCATCTTCTGAGGTGGTGAAGCTCTGGTTGTCCAGGCTTAGGTCGTCCAACTCTGGTGGACCTGCGGGGAACATTTATTGCATCCGTTGGGACTTTTTGGCTTGGAAACTTTGGTTTTGCACTTATGTTGTTGCAAATAATAGTATCAGAAACAAACATAATCATTGAATTTCGGATAAAAATAAAAAGAAAGCCAATGAGAAAAAAAGGCCATTTTTTCATCGTTAAAGATAATATTTTATGGGACAGGGGTTCAAAATCTCTCTCTATCTTTCTCTCTCTCTCTTTCTCTCTCTCTTTCTCTCCTTTTCTCTCGTTTTACGATTTTTAAAGAGGAGAGGTGAACCGTCTTATCTTGATCGTTTTTGTATAAAACACTTTATAATTTTAAAATATTGGGGGAAAAATATTAAAATTTAGAGGTCGTTACCAAAGAGACAGTTTCGACAGAAATTGGAGATTTTGATGTTTTGTTTTACATTTTAAAAATAATAATTTGCCATTTTAAATCAGTTAAGTAAATACATTTTTTTAATCTCGTGTAGTTACAACTGTGTTAAAAACATACATAGCTATTCAGAGTGTTAGTAAAACTTTAAGATAAGTATTGAACATAAACATTTAGTAGCTACTAGACTACCCGTTATCCTTGGATAACTGGGGATTTTGCGAGTCATATATATTAATTTATATACAGCTCGATGGGCTGTTATAACGTACATATCATCTCCTGCCTACACAAAAGCTTATCCTTACATTCATGCGCAAGTTATTGTCTTAGAGAATCGAACAATAGGTAGGAAAAGTCTATGTAATCAAACTAAATTTGTGAAAAAATCTTTTTAAAAATATGGCGAGCTATCAAATTATAAATACATTTCTAAAAATTTAAACCGTTTGGGAACCATCGATTACACTCATTTTTATATTTTTGTATCGAATATAAGCCGTTGAAAAGCTGTTAGAATTTTTTATATCAATTCATATATTTTAAAAAAACTGCCCTCAACCCTGGCTCTACTAATCCAAATTAAAAATAAAAGTGCTAATTACTACTATATTATTAGTAATTATTTCTTTGACAATTTCTAGCCTTAATGAAACCGGAATTAATTTTGTACTAATTACACAAATGTTATATAAAATATTCAATTTGAGTTAAAGAATTTGCTCTCTGGCAACAAAAATTTGGAACCATTTGGAACCAGCCTTTCATGTCTATTGCAATTGTGTACATTAAAAAAGATAAGACTCAGCTACTCACACTTAGCGAAGACGAACATGCCTCTGGACGTGTCTGTGGTGGTGTTGGTCCTCACGCCATTATCAGCCGTACACACGTACTCATCCACATCCTCACACGCAAACCTGGGCAGGTTGTACTCAACCACCCGGGCTCTGTCCGCAACCCGTTTCGGCGTACGCAGTCTGGTACTGTATATGACGACCCGGGGCGGGGGGTTGCCCTCGACGTGACATCTCAAGGTCACACTTTGACCGACCTCGACCTGTAAACGATTCGTCTGCTGGTTGCCCGTGAAGCTGATGATACCGCTGGGTCCTGTCAAACACAAACAACTTCAGCTGAACAAAAGAGTTGAACTGTACGACAATGTTTACAATCAGTATCCAGTGTTTCTTCAAGGCATCTTTTGGAGGGGGGGGGGGGGATGACCCCCCGAAGAGAGTCTACCCCCCCCCCTCCCTGAACGAAATGGAATTTATATAGAAAATATATACTTTTCACAGTGCCCCCCCCCCCCCCCCAGAAATTTCAAGTGTCTCTTCCCCCCCCCCCCCCCCCTTCCGGAGAAAAAGTTCTGGAAGAAACTCTGTCAGTATCAAAGGCGTAGTAATTACAACTACAATAGTTTTTATACATTAATGGAACATATTAATTATCCAATTAAGATTAGGCTCTTGTTATTGTACATTGCAAAGTTAAATATCAAGTAATTTCAATGTTAGTGGGTTTTTTTGGTGTGTTAAGTGAAAACGAAAGTAGAAAAAAACTGACTTTCAAAACGAGGCTTGTATATAGCACACATCGTCTGTTTCCCCAAGGCCGACACACCGCAACATTCGAAGTCTTGATCCACCTCTGATGTTACAAAAACACATGTGTTAATGTGTGAATCTAGAAAACGTATCATGTGTTACTCTAAAGCAACTTTTTCTTATAAACCTGAATGTGAGGGATTTTCCATAACTCCAGATGGTCAATTTTCATTTTCAGGTAATTTATATTTTTTTGTTTCCGACAATTAGTACAGCATCGTTGCAACATTTTGCAGGTATGTTTAACACTATTACCAAAGCAAAAATTTGTATTTGTATCACCAGAGTTACGGCCAAATAATGCTGGGTAAATCTTAGAGCTGATTAGTCTCAAATCGCATTTTGAATCCTACTTGATTTCTACCGTCCTTTGTTTTGAAAGACAAAATTGTGTCATCATGTCGAATAACAAACCCCACCCTTGCCACGAACACCACTACTGTAATGAACCCAATCACCGGGATGAACCACGGCACCGAAACCTCTTGTCATACCATGAACCCACTTACCACTGTACCGCACCGCCAAGGTGGATGAAAACGGGTTGTCGTTGCCAGTGTCAAGCGGTTGGCCTTGGTGGAACCACTGGACGCGACCAGCGGGTGACCCCTCTCTAGACCGGACACACACACACTCGATGGTTTCGTTAGCTTTGTAGTACAAGTCCTCTATTCCGCATGACGGAAGTAACTCAGCAGACGGGAATGCTGGAAGAGCAGAAGACACGTAATGTAGTTTTTTTTTTTTTAATTTTATGTTAGCTTTATACATTTTTTTAGTAGTTTTATAAAGTTTTTAGTAGTTTCATAAATTTTATAGTAGTTTTATAAATTTAATATAAGTTTTATAAAGTTTGTTGTAATTTTATAAATGTTATAGTAGTTTTATCAATTTTATAGTAGTTTTATAACTTTTATAGCAGCTTTATAAATTTTAAAGTAGTATTATAAATTGTAAAACAGTTTTATAAATGTAGCATATAATTAATAGATAAATAAAACTAAATGAAATCCAGATTCATTTAATTAAGCAATTGACAATAGGAGAAATAAGGCACATCTATTTTAATGATATCGGAATAACTTATGTATTTTTTTTCAATTTGTTTAGGGACTAGAGGGAAAAAGTTGGACATGTTAGGAAGAGGGACATTCCCCCCCCCCCCCCTTAAAATGAAAAGGTACCTTAAAGAAACACCGGTGGGTTGTGGTTCTACCCTTCTCCCTTTACAACCCCCCCCCCCCCAAAATTAATGGCTAGATGAAAGATTCGTATTAAAAACAAATTTAGAAATGCCTAAGGATCAGACACCCTCTGTAGGTGAGTAGTGCTGTAGAGGGTAGGATGACTCACACAGATCGTACAGCTGGTCAACGGCAATCCGCACACCTTTCGATTCCCCGGCCGTCAGGTTCGGGTACACGGTGACCTCCAGCCTGTGGCGACCTTGACCTAGGCTGGTCAGTGGGAAAGTCATGGAGCAGTTTGACCGGAAGTACAAGAGACTGGTGCTGCCCACCTTCTGCAGGTAGCTCTGTGTCTCGTATAGTGTGCGCGTGATGCTGACGTCTGGTCGGCTCTAGGGAGATCAGACGTTAGTGGGTTAAAGTATCACAACATCAGACTGATGGGTTAAAGTATCACAACATCAGACGTTAGTGGGTTAAAGTATCACAACATCAGACTGATGGGTTAAAGTATCACAACATCAGACGTTAGTGGGTTAAAGTATCACAACATCAGACGTTAGTGGGTTAAAGTATCACAACATCAGGCATAGGTTAAAGTATCACAACATCAGACGTTAGTGGGTTAAAGTATCACAACATCAGACGTTAGTGGGTTAAAGTATCACAACATCAGACGTTAGTGGGTTAAAGTATCACAACATCAGACGTTAGTGGGTTAAAGTATCACAACATCAGACGTTAGTGGGTTAAAGTATCACAACATCAGGCGTTAGTGGGTCAAAGTATCACAACATCAGACGTTAGTGGGTTAAAGTATCACAACATCAGACGTTAGTGGGTTAAAGTATCACAACATCAGACGTTGATGGGTTAAAGTATCACAACATCAGACATGGGTTAAAGTATCACAACATCAGACATGGGTTAAAGTATCACAACATCAGACGTTAGTGGGTTAAAGTATCACAACATCAGGCGTTAGTGGGTCAAAGTATCACAACATCAGACGTTGATGGGTTAAAGTATCACAACATCAGACATGGGTTAAAGTATCACAACATCAGACATGGGTTAAAGTATCACAACATCAGACATGGGTTAAAGTATCACAACATCAGACATGGGTTAAAGTATCACAACATCAGACATGGGTTAAAGTATCACAACATCAGACATGGGTTAAAGTATCACAACATCAGACGTTAGTGGGTTAAAGTATCACAACATCAGACATGGGTTAAAGTATCACAACTTCAGACGTTAGTGGGTTAAAGTATCACAACATCAGACGTTAGTGGGTTAAAGTATCACAACATCAGACATGGGTTAAAGTATCACAACATCAGACGTTAGTGGGTTAAAGTATCACAACATCAGACGTTAGTGGGTTAAAGTATCACAACATCAGACATGGGTTAAAGTATCACAACATCAGACGTTAGTGGGTTAAAGTATCACAACATCAGACATGGGTTATAGTATCACAACATCAGACGTTAGTGGGTTAAAGTATCACAACATCAGACTTTAGTGGGTTAAAGTATCACAACATCAGACGTTAGTGGGTTAAAGTATCACAACATCAGACGTTAGTGGGTTAAAGTATCACAACATCAGGCGTTACTGGGTTAAAGTATCACAACATCAGACATGGGTTAAAGTATCACAACATTAGACATGGGTTAAAGTATCACAACATCAGACGTTGATGTATTTAAGTAACACAACATCTTCTGTTACTATTACCTTTCATATTTCAAAGCCAAAACATAGTAATCTCATTTATACCTCTAAAATGTTAATATGTAAAACAATGTTCTACTTTAACTAAAGCCCCTAATAAAAAAAAATACACCATGGAAGTGTCGACTAAAACAAACAACAATTGATGAGCGTGCATGATGGGCGTGAGCAAGAAGGCCTCAGGTTGGGGATGAGCAGCCTCAGGTTGGTACCTCATAAAGACGATTGATCAAGCACAACGCTTGCGGGAATATCCGTTCTGTTCGACACGTCACAACCACTGCGTCACTTCCTGCCTTAAGGTCTGATCCTATACACTTGACGTCATCTGGTTTAGCTGTTTGTTCACGTGGAAAATTAGAATATAATTGCAATACGCAGGGAAACGTATTTTTAAGCATAAAAATAATTACTTAAATTGACATAATTTTTTACGTTGTTTTTAGAGGTCTATGTGCTCTGTTGAATAATTTGTTTTTCTAAATGTCTGTTTGTTGATAGGTTTCTGGTCTTACTCTAAGGTACACTAGGCTATGATGAAGTCTAATTTCTATCAATCTTTGCAGTCATGTATCTATTTGTACGTCATGTACCAAACATATATTTAAAAACCACGCTAACTATACAACACCCCTCTCGCATGACCTATGGCACGATATATCAAACACCAATTTCTAGCTCTACCTCGACATACAATAGCTCACACAGAAGCACAGAATTAACAAAGAACAAAGTATATATAGAAACCGTGGCCTATCAAAAAATCTTTGTCTCGCTAATCGTATGAAAACACTAAATCAAGATACGTCAACAACGTTAAAAGCTGTCTGGAAATATGACTGTTATTCTTTGCGATACCGCATTCAACGTTACGTTTAAAAGCTGTCTCGCTATAAGACGTTGTCCAAAAAAGCTGTTTCGTTTTACGGCGCGATCTTAAAAAACTGTCTTGATATACGACTTCATCTTTAAGAGCTGTCTCGCTATACGACGCCATCTGTCACATCCGTCTCGCTATACAACATCTTAAAAACACTGCCTCACCATAAAACTCCAAGTACGTGCACGATGTCTCGTATTGCGTCGGGTTCCCAACGGTGATACAAAGTGAATGTCTCTCAGCTCGCTTCAGATCCTTCACCGTCACGTCGAACCGGAAAATTCCGGCCAGCCTCTCGACCGTGACGGCGAGGGCCGAGTAATTGAGCGAGCAGAGGTTCCAGATCTCCGTGAACCAGCAGTTGGGGTAGACGGTCTCCAGCGAGTTGAGGCGGATACCGAACCAGAACTTGTTCTCGTCGTTGTCGTAGCTGCGCCTCATGTTGACCACGTGGCAGGTCAGCAGCCCGTCCCCGCGCTCCTCCACAGGTGAGCAGCTCAGCTTACCTGGCAGGGGGAAGGAAAATGGCGGATCGTTGCTGTTGGTTTTTTTTTTCGATATTTAAAACATAATACACCTATTCATTGTTTTAAAAAAAATAAGTAATATTTCGAGTATATATATATATATATATATATATATATATATATATATATATATATATATATATATATATATATATATATATATATATATATATATATATATATATATATATATATATATATATATATATATATATATATGGGATTATCTGAATCCGACTTCATGTTTTTATAACGCCTTCTACCCCCTCCCCCCTCCTTTTTCTATCACCTAAAGCCACTCCTCACCCTAAAATGACAGGTTAGGACTACAATTTTGAATAGGTTACAGCAATTGTTAGGGATATGATTAGGGTAAGTATACGGAATAATCTGATTCTACTAAGCCTGTCCTACACTTGATTTCCCGGCTAGGGAAAGTATACAATCCCCAGTCGGCCCAAACGGCCTTCTCACACTGCAGGTAAAATATAATTCTCGAGTATATTCTCGAAAGTAACATGATAATTAACTTGGGGAATAAGGGTGATTATTTACAGAGCTGAGTAATTGGTGGGGGGGGGGGGTAATGTTATAGAATCAGAAAACCTCTTAGTCCATCAAGCACTTATGAATAAGTACTTTATTTTTTACATTTTTCTTGGGGGAGGGGGGGGGGAGAGAAGGCGAAGATGGAAGGAACTGAACATTGTGTTGGCTGCACTATTCCTTATTTTCCATGGACAGAAAACACAGATACACTCTACTTTATCTGCCAAATGGAAGGTCTAGTCTTAACGGATGTCTATCTAGATATAAACCAGCATTAAAGTAATCAATTCACACATATTACAATACAGATATTACAATACAGATATTACAATACAGATATTACAATACAGATATTACAATACAGATATTACAATACAGATCGAATCGAACCTTTTTTTTTTGTACCACAAAATAATTTAAAAACAAACAACTGAATGGATCTGGCATGTATTTATGTAATTTAAACAGTATATGCCTACACAACACCTACACCTACACCTACACTTACACCTACACCTACACCTACACCTACACCTACACCTACACCTACACCTACACCTACACCTACACCTACACCTACACCTACACCTACACCTACACCTACACCTACTTCTACATCCACACCACATCACTTCACATCACATCACACCACACCACATCACATCACACCACTACATTACATTACATTACATTACATTACATTACGTTACATTACATTACATTACATTACATTACATTACATTACATTACATTACATTACATTACATTACATTACATTACATTACATTACATTACATTACATTACATTACACCAAACCTACCTTCTGTAAATCTCTGTAATAAAACACAAACCACAACAATCAGGTAGAGTAAGGTCCTCATTCTTCAAGCCCGTCCACAACGGTAATCTAATCAGGCTAGTGAAAGCTGAAGTAATCTTAGACTCCGTGACACAAGTACTGCTAGATTGTGACACAAGTACTGCTAGATTGTGACACAAGTACTGCTAGATTGTGACACAAGTACTGCTAGATTGTGACACAAGTACTGTTAATTTGTGACACAAGTACTGCTAGATTGTGACACAAGTACTGATAAATTGTGACACAAGTACTGCTAGATTGTGACACAAGAACTGCTAGAATGTGACACAAGTCCAGCTAGATTGTGACACAAGTACTGATAGAATGTGACACAAGTACTGATAGAATGTGACACAAGTCCAGCTAGGTTGTGACACAAGTACTGATAGAATGTGACACAAGTCCAGCTAAATTGTGACACAAGTACTGCTAGATTGTGACACAAGTACTGATAAATTGTGACACAAGTACTGCTACATTGTGACACAAGTACTGCTAAATTGTGACACAAGTACTGCTAGATTGTGACACAAGTACTGCTAGATTGTGACACAAGTACTGCTAGATTGTGACACAAGTACTGCTAGATTGTGACACAAGTACTGCTAAATTGTGACACAAGTACTGCTAGATTGTGACACAAGTACTGCTAAATTGTGAAACAAGTACTGCTAGATTGTGACACAAGTACTGCTACATTGTGACACAAGTACTGCTAGATTGTGACACAAGTACTGCTAGATTGTGCACATGCACACATTTACTAACACGCTAATAATCGGCCTGTCCGTGTTCTTAATGTGAAGAAATTATAGAATCAAACTGGCAACTAAGACGAGCTAATCCATATACCATTGCCAATTGTGTAGTAAACACGACGCTTGTGGTGTATACCCACGTACGGGTGTGTATGTTTGTGTGTGCGTGTATGTATGTAACAGGAAGAAATGTTTATTAAAAATTCGTCATGCTCTACTTGGTTTCAACTGGAGGCTAAAAAAAACATTTCAAGGTTGAAAGCTATTTCACCTTCGGTTTTGTCAACGAGTGTCCAGATAAATTTTTTATGCAATCGACAATGTTTAGACACACTAATAAAAACAACGATGTTAAGGAATAAAATATATTATTATTATGATACTTATAATAAAATTACGTGTATAATGCACAAAAAGACATTTAGCCTTTGACAAAACAATTTCTTAACTTCTATCTAATAGCACCAACTTGCCAATTTGGCAAATTTTCTTTTAATTTAATGCGCGCTTTTGATGCAGCAGCAACCGGCATTAGGTCAAGGACAGAGTGTACACTGACAGTCACAGCAACCTATGAGGTCAAGGTCAGGTGGTTAAAAGATTATGGCAGTCTACGCCTCCATGCATTCATCTGTGAATTGAATAGATTTACTGACGATCCATTATTGCAGCCCACAAATTATGCCACTTGGGCAAGTCTAGACACACCAATAGGCCAACACACCAATAGGCCAACACAGCAATAGGCCAACACAGCAATAGGCCAACACAGCAATAGGCCAACACAGCAATAGGCCAACACAGTTGTGAAGAAAAGGTGTGTCGTGTGTTGACGTCTAATGGAAGATACAGTAGAAAGAATGTTTGAATAACCAGACAGCTTTGGCCTATGAGGTGTACAAAATATAGCCTGCTCTTTGTTACCTGCTCTTTGTTAAGACAACCATGTTATAACATAACATTAATACATGATAAAGTTAGTTGTTTTTAACACAAACGTTTAACCTAACCATAAATATTTTCAATGGTAAAAATCAGGATAATGTAATATATATATATATATATATATATATATATATATATATATATATATATATATATATATTTATATATCAGCACCGAAGCAGTCTTGCATGTTGTCTTTTGTTTACCGGCGTCTCCTGTTGTTGACGATTTCATATTCACTTTTCATGCAACTAGGAATATATTTTATGAAAGTAATTTTGTAAATACATTTTTTTTAAAGTTGTTTTAGTCATTTAATGCTTAGAACACCACAATAAACAAGTTATAGAAATGAAGACGTGAATATTTTTATTTCTTTACACAAATGTTCTTAATTTTTTTAGTGTTGGAAGGGATCCCCTCCAACACAATTAAGTAAACGTGTCAACTGGTTAAGCGCCATAGAGGTTGTTGACTCCGATTTCAGCCTGCTTTTCTTTTTGGATTTGCTTCCATAGCCTTTTTCCAACCACTCATCTGCCCGAGGGTTCGAGCTCGAGACTTTTCAGTATAGCAATCATTAGCTTTACCGACTCGACCACACCGACCCCTGATGGTGAATTGAATGGAAGATGGTATATTTAGTATTAATGTTTCATGCATACTTTTAATGTACCTTTTAATGTACCTTACTCGTGAACTTTAATTTCCATTGATTTTATCTATAATTATAATAAATGTGTTGTTGTACAAGAAAATCATAGATAAAACAGTAAACACAATTAGAATGCTAAAACCGTCATATATATGACAAGAGTCTGTATCTGTTACGTAACAAATTATAATCATCTTTCAAGTGTTTCATTATAGCTTACCATGCCTAGACATCACATGATTTCATGAAGTTCGTATTTCCATGTGCTAATATTTTCTGCACACAATGTGGTATCTTGAAGATTGCAGATACATGAGTTGACATATGAATCTGTAACATTGTGAGGAGGAAAAATGGCGGATATTGTGGTGCACTAGTCCTAATCACATCGAACTGGGCTTTTTTTTAACACAAGACTTTAAATCACATCTAAATCGATTTTAACACCAGACCTCAAGTCACATCTAAATGGTTTTTAAACACAATACTAAAAACACATCTGATTGTTTTTCAAATACTAGAAGACAAAACACATCTCAATGTTTGAAACATAACCGGGTATACCCGAAACCAAATTCAGAAAATGTGATATTGTTCAAAACGTGAACTGTATCATCAACCAGTCACGCATTAGTGTATTCACATTCAAAGCTACAGTACAAATCTTGGGAATAGTTACTTGTATACAAGTACATGCCTAATTGAAATAAAATGTAGTTCGATATTATTATTTTAAAAGTTTGTTTATTTAAAAAAGTAATGCTAATTGATTACAGACACAGTCACGTTCCGATTATTCTCCTGATTGTTTTTGTACTATAAACTTTTTATTTATTTCAAGTAAAATAAGAACTGAACGCTAAAAATATTAGAAATTTAATTATATAATTTTGTCTTAACCATTAAAATAACTGAGATGTATGAATAGCTTTTTCACCAAAACTTGAAGTTTTTTTTACAAAGGGTGGTAAAAAGTTTTTTCAAATTGTCAAGATGTTAAAAAAATCGATCCTAATGCGTCCATTAAGTTTACACTTAATTATTTTAATTACTGGCAGTCTTCGAGAAGTTTCTACAGGCGTACGTCGACCCATTAATTAACGTCTTAAAAACAAAAGATTTGTTTGAAGACTAATTTCAAACACAACCAAACAACGATCGATTTTCAGTGCAGCGGTGGTTTGACGCCAACACTAATTATGTGGCTAGTAATTAACTGGATTAGACAACTATTCTGTTCTGACGTTTTTGATATAATAATTATAGTAATTATGTTGTGTCCGGGTCATTAAACTAATTAAAGAGAAAACGAAACAAAAATGTTATTGTTTTATAAATAAAAGTATAAAATGTATCAAGCAAGTAGAATGTATAACGCGATAACTATCTGCTACAAATAGAAAATATAACTGTCGAAAAGGTCTGGGAACAGATGGCGTCGTTAGCAACGTCAAGCTGGAACAATGTTTCCATAGTTACGCTCGGTTTAGACATCACGTCATCGTATGTATACCTCGGTCTCATCACTGAGCGTCAATACTTTTACATAGAGTGCTGTTCCCTGCTAGTCGTTGGGATGGTGTCGCTGTTTGGTGGTGTGAGCAACGTCATCAACATTGTGACGTTCTTGTCTATGGGCATAGCCGAGTCCATGACGGTGTTTCTGTTGCTGCTGGCTTTCTCCGACCTGGCGTATCTCTTGGTCATGTTCTTTAACACTGTGCTATATATTCTCTACTTGGTTGAAAAGGTGAGCAATTATTCCACCTGGTTTTATTTTAACCCCGACGGTGCCAGAACGTTCTGCGCTCATACCAGCAACGTGTGCAACACGATGAACATTCTACTCACCATGCACATGGCGGTGGTCAGGTGTCTGGCAGTCATACGACCGCTGCACTTCCGGAATGTTCTCTCCGGAAAGAAGACACTCCCCATCGTCAGTGTCTACCTGCTGTTCTCATTGCTAACCTACATTCCGATCCTGGCTTTCATGGGAAGAGACGTGACCTTCGACCCCAAGGTCAACGCTTCCAGACTGGTCACGTGGATCTCGCCTCAGCGAGAGAAGGTCAAGAATATAATCTGGCTTGTAAGAGACGCCATTTTGCCTTTCGCGGCGCAGGTCATTGTTATAGCATGTGTTGTGGTTATGACTGTTGCTCTTAAGGCATCGGCCCACTTCCGGTCAGCTAATACAACATCTGCATCACACGCACAAGCTACTGCTACATCACAAGTGCAACCAGCTACAGCATCACATGTGCAAACAGCTACAGCATCACAGAACCAGACAGACAACACAGAGATCAAAGACAACATGAGACTACTACAGCGTTCATCCAACCTGAGCCGTAAAGACGTCCACGTCATTCAACAGCTGGTGCTGGTGTGTCTGGTGTTTGTGGTGTTCAACACACCGCGTGTTGTGTTCAGTCTGGCCTCACTAGCAGAAGACAAGTTCTCCCTGGGGGGCGTGTACCACTACCTGTACCTGACAGGTGCCTGCCTCGTCTTTTTATTCCAGGTCCTCAACTCTAGCCTACACGTTTTTATTTACTACAAGTATAGCTCCACATTTAGACAACATTTCATGGCCAAGTTCATCTTTCAGATATAGTTTAAACAGATTGTATAGCTCCATATTTAGACAACATTTTATGGCCAAGTTCATCTTTCAGATATAGTTTAAACAGACAGATTGTATAGCTCCATATTTAGACAACATTTCATGGCCAAGTTCATCTTTCAGATATAGTTTAAACATATTGTATAGCTCCACATTTAGACAACATTTCATGGCCAAGTTCATCTTTCAGATATAGTTTAAACAGATTGTATAGCTCCACATTTAGACAACATTTCATGGCCAAGTTCATCTTTCACATATAGTTTAAACAGATTGTATAGCTCCACATTTAGACAACATTTCATGGCCAAGTTCATCTTTCATATATAGTTTAAACAGATTGTATAGCTCCACATTTAGACAACATTTCATGGCCAAGTTCATCTTTCAGATATAGTTTAAACAGATTGTATAACTCCATATTTAGACAACATCTCATGGACAAGTTCATCTTTCAGATATAGTTTAAACATATTGTATATCTCCATATTTAGACAACATTTCATGGCCAAGTTCATCTTTCAGAAATAGTTTAAACAGACAGATTGTATAGCTCCACATTTAGACAACATTTTTTTGCCCAAGTTCATCTTTCAGATATAGTTTAAACAGATTGTATAGCTCAACATTTAGACAACATTTTTTGGCCATGTTCATCTTTCAGATATAGTTTAAACAAACAGATTGTATAGCTTCACATTTTGACAACATTTTTTGGCCATGTTCATCTTTCAGATATAGTTTAAACAAACAGATTGTATAGCTTCACATTTAGACAACATTTCATGACCAAGTTCATCTTTCAGATATAGTTTAAACAGAGAGATTATATAGCTCCACATTTAGACAACATTTCATGGCCAAGTTCATCTTTCAGATATAGTTTAAACAGACAGATTGTATAGCTCAACATTTAAACAACATTTCATGACCAAGTTCATCTTTCAGATATAGTTTAAACAGACAGATTGTATAGCTCAACATTTAAACAACATTTCATGACCAAGTTCATCTTTCAGATATAGTTTAAACAGACAGATTGTATAGCTCCATATTTAGACAACATTTCATGACCAAGTTTATCTTTCAGATATAGTTTAAGCAGACAGATTGTATAGCTCAACATTTAGACAACATTTCATGGCCAAGTTCATCTTTCAGATATAGTTTAAACAGATTGTATAGCTCCACATTTAGACAACATTTCATGGCCAAGTTCATCTTTCAGATATAGTTTAAACAGACAGATTATATAGCTCCACATTTTATGGCCAAGTTCATCTTTCAGATATAGTTTAAACAGATTGTATAGCTCCACATTTAGACAACATTTCATGGCCAAGTTCATATTTCAGATATAGTTTAAACAGATTGTATAGCTCCACATTTAGACATTCATGGCCAAGTGTATCTTTCAGATAAAGTTTAAACAGACAGATTGTATAGCTCCACATGTAGACAACATTTCATGGCCAAGTTCATCTTTCAGATATAGTTTAAACAGATTGTATAGCTCCACATTTAGACATCATTTCATGGCCAAGTTCATCTTTCAGATATAGTTTAAACAGACAGACTGTATATCTCCACATTTAGACAACATTTCATGACCAAGTTCATCTTTCAGATATAGTTTAAACAGATTGTATAGCTCCACATTTAGACAACATTTCATGGCCAAGTTCATATTTCAGATATCTTTTAAACAGACCGACTGTATATCTCCACATTTAGACAACATTTCATGGCCAAGTTTATATTTCAGATATCTTTTAAACAGACTGTATATCTCCACATTTATTAAACAATAGTTAGTGGACAATCTTATACTTTAGCATAGACAGATTGTTTAGCTTCATATTCAGACAAGGGTTAGTGGACAAGTTAATGCTTTAGATGTACTCTAACAAGACATACTTTAACAAGTATAGCTCAACACTAAGACAACTTCTGGTCGCTAAGCTGTTTTGTTGGATCTGTTTACACAAACACAGTTTTACAAGTATAGACACACTTTAAACAAAGCAGATATTTCTTAACACAAGAAATATAAATGTATCTTTAATAAATCGATTAGTTGTGGTAGTAGGTTAATTTGAACATTCATTAAGTTAATGAGTAGCCTTCGTCTTAAGTAATTCACTTTCACATAAAAAGTAGGAACACATAAGGACGAAGTATTTTTTTTTATAAAACATAAACGAATCAAACTTCTTTCTAGCAGTGTGTTTTATTGTGTTTACAAATATGCTTACAAAGTCAAAATATATTATTTATTTTTTCGTAATAAAAAATATTTTTAATATACGATGTTAAAATTTTATTGTGTTTGTTTGACGCAGAAAAGATTGAAACTTTGTGTAGAATTCAATGTTTTTTAAATATTTTTTTACTTATGTTTACTATATGTTATGCACACATTATAAATATAATAAAAGTGCAACAAAAAATGACCACATAACAATATAAAGCTATTTATTTATGACCAATACCGCTTTCTTTGTATAATGTTTCACTCCTTATATATTTAGCTTTTTAATTATTAACTTATCTTAAATGTTTTATTTGCATATAACTAGCAAATTAATTTATAAATGCATTTTTTAAAGGTCCATATTGTTCACCCTATTATGCACATTTTTTTTCATGGATAATTTTTGTCAAAATAAAGCTTGAACAATGCGGATAATATTGCTCTGTTGTTTTATTTTGAGGACAATAATATACCGGCTTTAATATCAAGATGTTAAAATAGATTAGATCTTATACTCGCTTTCTCACAAGGGCGGAACTTTAATCATCTGTAAATTCCTTTGTTGGCAGAACTTATTCTCTTACAGAAAAATGACTAGTGCGTATGCCTATTTACGTTAGTGGTAGAATTCTAACAAGCACACTGTCTGGTATATTACACTTTACTCTTCATAAAACAAAGAGAACCTCTAATTTCTGTGCTAATGTTAAAGACTGAGATCACAATTGCTGGTTAACTTGTGAGAGGCCAAATGTAAGGGACATAACACGCTTGATAAATTGGCTTGTAACTTATGTGAGCCAGAGTAGCCTAACCTGATGAACCAAATGTTGATTATTGCTGTAAATCTGGCTTGCGGAGTTTTTAATCTTATTTTGACCAAGAAAATACCATTCTGTAATTAACGACCCTTCCAAGCCGGGTAAGAAATCTAATTAAACGATGTATCGATGAAGCATCTGACACAAGACGTGCTAGAAACTGACAAGTACACTTGACCATAGATCAATCTCTTATTGAAGTAGTACACGATGATACAACACAGCATATCTAAGCTTCATAATGCTCAAATTCTTGGAATATTCCAGAACACACGATCTATAAAAACTCAAATAGTTTCCAAAGTCATTGGTCAAGTCTCATGGCAAGCAATTAGGTCTATCTAGATCTTAAACACGAAAGACCTATTTAGACATTAAACACACAGACCTATGTAGACATTAGACACACAGACCTATGTAGACATTAAACACAGCAGACCTATGTAGACATTAAACATACAGACCTATGTAGACATTAAACACACAGACCTATGTAGACATTAAACACACAGACCTATGTAGACATTAAACACGCAGACCTATGTAGACATTAAACACACAGACCTATGTAGACATTAAACACACAGACCTATGTAGACATTAAACACACAGACCTATGTAGACATTAAACACACAGACCTATGTAGACATTAAACACACAGACCTATGTAGACATTAAACACACAGACCTATGTAGACATTAAACACACAGACCTATGTAGACATTAAACACACAGACCTATGTAGACATTAAACACACAGACCTATGTAGACATTAAACACACAGACCTATGTAGACATTAAACACACAGACCTATGTAGACATTAAACACACAGACCTATGTAGACATTAAACACAGCAGCCTAATGCAGACATTAAACACAACACAATAAACACCACATCAGGTACATTAAAGTATATTCAACCTTCTAGACAAAGCAGATATTCACGTTTGTCGTTCGTTTTGCCAATAAATATAAGAAAATCAAATATTCAACTCTTGTCGACTTTGTCAAGAAAAATTAGTTGGATTTGATTTTTAAAATAACCATGCAACGTTTAATGTTGGTCTATATTGGTCTAGATTTGTAAAAATATTTAGCAATTAATGTCAGGTGAGTCAGTTACATACACTTTGGACAGACAATAGAACGTGCATATAATGAATACAAAAATAGAAGCGTCACAATATTGTCACGCAACTAGCAAAGTCAAAGATTTAAGACAAAGAGACACTTGCTTTGATATTAAATAAACCGGGAGTGATCTCCCCTAAACTTTCTCGAATATTCTTATATAAAACAACAGGGGATGGGAACTCGGGCTATAGGCATGATTTTTAATCCATTTTAAATACTTAAAGTTTTAAAAATAGAATAAAATCTCGTAGACAAAAGAATTGCACACCAAGTGAATGTAAAATTAAAAAGTGCATAATAGTGCTCAATATTATTAGTACTTTAAAAATTTACATTAGTTTTTTGAGAAATCGGAAGTAGCGTAAATTACTACTTCCGGTAAACAGAAATTACTCAAAATTTAACAGAAGGTAGAAAATTAGATCTTTTACTCACATGTGAAATTTCATTTATCTATCTGAAATAGTACTCAAGTTATAGGCTCTTGAAAAATTCAAAGTAGAAATAGTACCACTTCCGGTTATCGGAAATCGCTCAAAAGTTGATACGGATCTACGATTTTGATAAAATACTTATATATGAAATTTCATCAACCTAGCTGTAACGGAACTCAAGTAATCGTGTTTACACACAGACACACACACACAGACACACAGACACACAGACATACGGACAGAATTGCAAAGTCCAGTTTTTCAGACTGGATTACGCATAAAACCTCTTAATTTTGATAAATCTAGATTGATAATTTTTGCCCGATTAAAATAAGTCCTCTATACTTCGGATGTGATGAAGGACTGAGGTGTAATACGGTGAAAATTGTTAAAATTTCAAGTGATTTTTGTGCAAGATTACAATACTTTCTCTATACTTCGTATATACGAGAAAGTAAAAATGCAAACCAATGTTAGGGATATTTAGTGAAAGTGACAATGTCTAAATAAATTGGGTGTTAAAAAAATAAGCGACTTAATAACCGTTACAAAATCCATTATTTCACCTAATCATGTATAGAAAACCCATTGTTTTGAAAGATGGCATTTCGAAATAGAGGGACAAAAAAAATCATAATTAACTACACGTTATTGACATTATAACTGCTGCTATTAATTATAACACAACAAACAAGAATGTTCACAATCGATTGTCTACGATGCTGTTTCGTATAATTATTTGTTAATGTAGTGTTTAGTTAGAGTTTGAACTTTTAGAGAGAGCGATTTAAAAAAATATACATTTGGTTACCGTGTTGTAAAGGTAATTGAACCCAATTATATATGCTCTACATAATTATTGAATGTCTTTTGAAGTCGGGAGTGCATAAGCAATTAGTGGACAAAACCTGGCAGTAGATTATTTAACTGGTACATCTTTTAAAATTAAATTAGTATTAGCATAACTTGTGGAGATTTAAAGCATAGGTTGTAAAGTAAGCTAGTTGTCTATGTTGAGTTTTCAGACGTCGCAAAGTATAAGCGAATGTTGGGCAATGTCTAGAGAACATACTTGTACTCCATGTTTGGTGCACTAAATATTGGTGCTCACAGTGCTAGTGCCATAGTGCAGGTACTATAGTGCCGTAGTGCCAAATTGCAGGTGCCATAGTTCTGGTGCTATAGTTCTGGTGCCATAGTGCTGGTGCCATAGTGCTGGTGCTATAGTGCTGGTGCTATAGTGCTGGTGCTATAGTGCTGGTGCTATAGTGCTGGTGCCATAGTGCTGGTGCTATAGTGCTGGTGCTATAGTGCTGGTGCCATAGTGCTGGTGCTATAGTGCTGGTGCTATAGTGCTGGTGCCATAGTGCTGGTGCTATGGTGCTGGTTTCATAGTGCTGGTGCTATAGTGCTGGTGCTATAGTGCTGGTTTCATAGTGCTTGTGCCATAGTGCTGGTGCCATAGTGCTGGTGCCATAGTGCTGGTGCTATAGTGCTGGTGCCATAGTGCTGGTGCCATAGTGCTGGTGCCATAGTGCTGGTGCTATAGTGCTGGTGCTATAGTGCTGGTTTCATAGTGCTTGTGCCATAGTGCTGGTGCCATAGTGCTGGTGCTATAGTGCTGGTGCTATAGTGCTGGTGCCATGGTGCCGTAGTGCACAATATTATTTAAGTATTGTTTTATTGATTTCTGTTCAATTTAATTTTTAGATGACCTGACTTTAACTTGGAGCAAGAAAATTTTAAGGCTGCTTGTTACTTGTAAAGTACGTCTTTTGAAAGAGACATTTAAAACACACACGTTTATGAAAACAGACATTTAAAACACACACGTTTATGAAAACAGACATTTAAAACACACACGTTTATGAAAACAGACAATTGAAACACACAGTTTACCTGGGCTACTACCATGTTGAAGGTTATTCGATCTTAATTCTTGGGATGGTCTCTGTTCTTGGGGGCGCTGGTAACGTGGTCAACATTGTGACGTTTGTGGCGATGGGTGTGGGAGAGTCCATGGCTGTCTTCTTTCTAGTGTTGGCAGTCTTTGATTTATCCTACCTGTTGGCGATGTTCTTCGTGGCCGTCTGCTACATGTTTTCTTGGCTGGAGAAGAGCTCCCAGTACCGTCTTTGGTTTCCTGTCGACGCCGATGGTGTAGCGGCTTTCTGTGCTCATGTCGGCACCATCTTGTACACGATGACCATCTTGGCCACAACCTACATGGGGGTAGTCCGGTGTTTGGGTGTGGTCAAGCCCATGCATTTCAGGAACGGTCTAACAAGAAATCTAACGCTTTCTGTCTTTTTTGTGTTTTTTCTATTCGCGTTGTTGAGCTACATCCCAATGTTGCCCTTTATCGTCATGTGGGTCTCTCCACTAAGAGAGAAGGTCAAGGATATAATCTGGCTTGTAAGAGACGCCATTTTACCTTTTGCTGCCCAGGTCATTGTCTTCACCTGTGCACTTGTTATGAGCGTGTATCTTAAAGCTGCGGCCAACTTCCGGTCAGCTAATACAACAGCTGTGTCACATGATCAATCCCAAAATTCTTCTCAAAACAACACGGAAGACATAAAGTGGAAAGAAAACAAGAGATTACTGAAACGTTCACCAAACCTGAGCCGTAAAGACGTCCATGTCATCCAACAGCTGGTGCTGGTGTGTCTGGTGTTTGTGGTGTTCAACACCCCGCGTGTTGTGTTCAGTCTGGCCTCACTGGCAGAAGACGAATTATCCCTGGGGGGCGTGTACCAGTACATCTACATCACGGCATCCAGCGTCATGTTCGTCTCACAGGCCCTTAACTCCAGTCTCAACATCTTCATCTACTACCACTACAGCTCCAGCTACAGACGGCACTTGCTGGCCATAACATCTTCATCTACTACCACTACAGCTACAGCTACAGACGGCACTTGCTGGCCATAACATCTTCATCTACTACCACTACAGCTACAGCTACAGACGGCACTTGCTGGCCATAACATCTTCATCTACTACAACTACAGCTACAGCTACAAACGGCAGTTGCTGGCCATAACATTTTCATCTACTACAACTACAGCTCCAGCTACAGACGGCACTTGCTGGCCATAACATCTTCATCTACTACAACTACAGCTACAGCTACAAACGGCAGTTGCTGGCCATAACATCTTCATCTACTACCACTACAGCTCCAGCTACAGACGGCACTTGCTGGCCATAACATCTTCATCTACTACCACTACAGCTACAGCTACAGACGGCACTTGCTGGCCATAACATCTTCATCTACTACCACTACAGCTACAGCTACAGACGGCACTTGCTGGCCATAACATCTTCATCTACTACCACTACAGCTACAGCTACAGACGGCACTTGCTGGCCATAACATCTTCATCTACTACAACTACAGCTACAGCTACAAACGGCAGTTGCTGGCCATAACATTTTCATCTACTACAACTACAGCTCCAGCTACAGACGGCACTTGCTGGCCATAACATCTTCATCTACTACTACTATAGCTCCAGCTACAGACGGCACTTGCTGGCCATAACATTTTCATCTACTACAACTACAGCTCCAGCTACAGACGGCACTTGCTGGCCTTGTTAGCTTGAGTTATGATGGGACGACAACACTAACACTGTAACACTTAACTCATTCATTTGTTTCAATTGTTTACTATTCTCTGTAGTAAATTTGAGAATTAAATAACGTTAATTTCAAGTTCATGTGGACCATAAATTGAGTTATTTTTTTTTAAAATTATGGTAAATAGTTTACACGCTACGAATAATTTAGTATACACTTAACAAAATGGCAAATTGAAAAAAAAAGCAAATAAAAAGAAACATTTTTGAATAACTGTACTCATTCTCATTCTAGTGGGTGGGCGTAGGGCTACCTGTGGGATACAGGTCATGTCCATATAGCAGAAGCTACGGTGTTCACCAGAGCGTAGAATCACCTTAGTTTTATCTTGGTACCTTAAGGAGGTTCGTTGAGTCGTCCTAACATGCCCCCTCAGGGCAACATGATATATATATATATATATATATATATATATATATATATATATATATATATATATATATATATATATATATATATATATATATATATATATATATATATATATATATATATATTTATTTATTTATTTATTTATTTATTTATTTATTTATTTATTTATTTATTTATTTATTTATTTATATATTTATATATATAATGCCATAAGCTCCATTTAACTTTTATGCTGCATATTTCACAACGTTGACAAAGCTACTGCTACTGGTCATCCAAAACAGACACACAGGCTGAAATATAGTCCACACACCAGGAACCCGAGCATCAGCTGTTTAATTATGTTCATTAGTTAAATTGCAATCATATTTAAAATAACATTATACATGTATGTGCATATATATATATATATATATATATATATATATATATATATATATATATATATATATATATATATATATATATATATATATGTATATATATATCGCGAAGGATATCGAAGGATATAATTGTGTCTAGGGCTAGGGTAAAGTATATTGAATAATGTTATTTCAAATGTAAATATTTGTCCTCTACGGCAGATATACACACCTCATCATCGGGTAAAAGGTGAGTTAAAAGTGTAATATATGTGTATCATAGAATAAATTAATATGTGCAGGACCTGTCTTTGGACGTGGACATTAATTTCGCTTACATGAACCAGTCAATTGTACAATCATCACAATATTTAACATAGATTTGGTGTTGTGTGAGGTACCATAGTATATGTTGTCTGCAGTCTAGACTGGAAACATTCCTTTTACCTATAATTTACGACGTCCTCCACACACACCTTACAGTATCAAACAGGGCTGTGCCTTATCAGTCAGGCAACGTTTTCAGGTAAATCAAGACATCAGTCGGTTATAGTTACAGTTACCTGCTGTTGTGATCTGAGAATGTCGTATTATCGAGGGCTGATGTATCATTTTCTTTGTTTTATAATCTTTCATGAATTTGTGGTAAGTTAGAGTGCACATCATGCTTTTATTTATTTTTGCCCCTACCTCTGGTATACATACACACACACACACACACACACATATATATATATATATATATAAATAAATTTTAACAAAAATTTATATATATATATATATATATATATATATATATATATATATATATATATATATATATAAACATAGTTTGAAGTGTTGGTGAGCTCGCAACAAGGATGTTCCCCACCTAACCCCACCCTGATTGGTGTCGGTCGTCCATGCCAAAGTTCAACATCCTGCATTACTAACTGGTGTGAGAACGGTTTGTGTATTTGTCACTACACCAGGGTCTTTGATTCTTGCACTAACCGGTGTGTACCATGTGAGTTTATAGCAGACCCAATGACAAATACGTTATTTTTTTAAATTTTACACACACGCGCATATATATATATATATATATATATATATATATATATATATATATATATATATATATATATATATACATATATATATACATATACATATATATATATATATATATATATATATATATATATATATATACATATATATATATATATATATATATATATATATATATATATATATATATATATATATATATATATATATATATATATATATATATATATATATATATATATATGTATATACTTAAATTTCTGTAATGATTTTTTTTCATAACTTCGGTATCATATCTGCTCTACATGCAGCCTTGGTAAGTTTTTACCAACAAATGAAATACATAAAATAACTGCTTTAATAGCTTATACATATATATATATATATATATATATATATATATATATATATATATATATATATATATATATATATATATATATACATATACATATATATATATATATATATATATATATATATATATATATATATATATATATATATAAATATATATATATATATATACATTAGAGCCACGTTCAAGTGTCCCCTGGCCTGCCAGTAGGATGTGTTTCTCCAACCTCCTCTTTACGAAGTTACGGACAGCCATGTACATCTTTAAGCGAGTGCTCTACTGGGTGGTGTGAAAATGGAGTGTGCTTCTGTTCATATTTCGACATTTACAATTATTGCTCAGCCTCTTGTTTAATAAGTAAGTACGGCAGGTTAGGCCGCTAGAATGCAGTAAACATTTTCACTATATAGCTCGTCATTAAAATTAAAGTTCTGTTTATTTATTTTTCATTTGCCTTCAGTGAGAAATACTTTTAAAAATTGCAATGTTAATGATTTTGCTATTTACGTGATACAACTGTGCAATGTTGATCACCATAAACTTTCTATCTGCTTTAATTTGATAACACTAATGCGTTAGTATCTGTATTTTAAAAATCAATTATTTTTCGATCTAGCCCAGAATTTCAGTTCTTTAATCATCCTTTGTTTTTTCTTCAGTTATTTTTGTTGTATCTCTTTTTTATTACACTAAAACATCCTACCTTTATTGTTTTCTTTTTTTTTTACTCAAGATCAGTTTATATAAAAATACCAACAATACTATAACCCTACAGTGTTTCCTTTAGACATTCCTATCCCACTTCCCCGAGAGAAAAAATGGGGGGGGGGGGGGGGGCACAGTTAAATTTCCCAGGAGCGGGGATGACACTGGTTAGTTAAAGAGTATATCCTTTTCATAAAATAATTTCTTTTCTCTTTTCGTTCGTGTTTTTGCTTAGGGGTTAGAGAAACTCTGTCAAGCTTCTAAAATTGATGCTAAAAGCTGCCATATTGTTGAACACGAAGCCCAATGTTTGTGTCAGCGGTGGTGTTAAGGAAACACTGTTTAGGTTTCAAATGTACGATTTGTTCACAACAACAAATATTTGATGTGTGTTTGAATGACTATTTAGAGGAAAAAAATTTGGGTATATTCCATCCAGTGTGCGGGTTTCACACCATCGCTACATCAGGCAAGTTTGGAAGTCCGGGTCACCCAGTAGACAGATGTTTGTGGCAGATCAGTGGAGACCCTGGGACCTTCATCTTGTTTAAGTCAGTTTTTTTTTTATAAGTCTATATCCATCATTCCATTCATTTCGCCTTCTTATAAGTCTACATTCAGCATTTCATTTACAACATTTTTCATTTTAAAATAAATATTTGTTCTCCCTTTTAAATCAGTATGTTCAACATATTATTTATCTGTATTTTAAATCCACTTTGTTTTATGAATTCATAAAAACGACTGAAATGATTATTGTTTTACCTTCATGATACACATTGTGATTAGAATGTAACAAACAATTGAGCGCATGTTTTAGACTATTTTCAACTATATCTGTGTGCATTTTTCACTACTTTTTTAATATTAGATTTTAAATTTGTATGGTTATTTTCAATATAATGAAGTGAAGTATATTGTATTAAGGCTTTGGGCGCGCCGCTATGTTACGCACGTTTGGTTTGATTTACTGCCACCTCAACTCATATAATTTGAGTTATCTAAGTGTACAAAGACGAAAGAGCAGACCTACTGTCATTTATCTCATACATCTTGGGTTGCTAGATAAGAAAAGTAAACATGTTACGGTCTTATAATCATATATGGTAAAAAGTATGTTTGGATAGATCTACACTTATGAGAAATATATTTTACGAAATATATATATATATATATATATATATATATATATATATATATATATATATATATATATATATATATATATATATATACTAGACTACCCGTCATCCCTTGGATAACTGTGGGTTTCGGGGGTCATCCATCAAAACACATCACGTCTGTCACTCAGAGGCATAGCAACCCTTCCCGGCGCCCGAAGACAAACTTTTCGATTTGAAACCCCACCCCCCCCCCCCACAGGATTTCGATTTGCAACCCCCCCCAAACTTTTGATGTGCACCCCCCCCCTCAAG